TATACTATGTCGATATTGTAAATCGTCAGCAAAGTTAAAGCTATTAGTGTTTAGGGTATAGATTAAGTCGAACGTTATTTTTTCCAAATTTTATCCAGGCAAGTATAGGAAAGTTTTTAGAACTCCAAATTATAAATGTAACCAAGTAGTAATTATATATTTTTGCTACTGGTCCGATATAAGGTACAACTGAAAAAGATAGAGAATAAATTAGCGGACCATCTTGATTACAATAATAAAATGCCACACAAATCTGTACAATACTTACGACACAAATAAAACATCGTCTCACGATATTTCGTAATTAACCAACTATACCATCCAAGCTTTTTATCTGAAACATTAATTATATTCGATAAAAATTTTAATTTTTCAATTAATACAAAATTTTTTTAAATATATTATTAATGCTGATGAAAAGAATTAAATAAAAGTCATCTAATTTCACTGTAGGTAATTGTCATTATAGCAAACATTATAAAACTAAGTAGAAGTTATATATAATAATTTTAGTAAAATTTTTTCTTACAAATAATATATATTTTAATTTTATATCTTTAACAATTTCTGGTTTAATAAAAGTAACAGTGCTAATTTTTATCGACAATATATTAATTAGAATTAAATATTCAAAAACAATAAAAAGATATCAATAAAAGAATATCAAAATTATCGAAATATAAATATATTTGTAATTAAAACAAAAATTGAATACTTACATGGGAGATCATGTAATTTATAAGTGAACGCCATAAAAGATTCTTTATCCGCCGTGATATCGATGTACCAAAAGGCATTTAAAGCGTGTGTCGTTATTTCATCAAATTCAGATGAAACTTCTGTTAAATAAGTCGCATAAAGTTGTTTGAGCTTCTGACATAATTCAGAAGTCTCCTTAGCGTTTTTGCGACACAGATTAAATCTGTAGATAAAAAAGAATAACTAATAAAATTAGCTCTATAATCTGCTCTACTGTTAATTTTTAGACTGTTATTTTTTAATTTCACACCAGTCATTAATTATTTTAAATTTATTTATCCGTAACCTCAAAATTTTTATTCAATTTGGCTTTAGTATTCCCTTTGTTATCAATTTTAAATTTCTCCTACTCTTAACACTTTACTTATACATTACTATACAATATCGTTTAAATGTTCTATAGTGAATTGGGTTGTGTGTGTGTGTGTGTGTGTGTGTATTTGTTTGTTGCTTCCTGACTTTATTTAGTCACTGTTTGACAGACGGATGAGACGGTTGTTATTTGAAATCAGGGATGTCTTATTTTAAATGCATCATTATTTCAATTGTAACAGCGTTTTCTACTTACAAATCGTATTGTTTCTCGATGTTTTTTTACCACTTTTAATGCTTATTCTCGCGTTCTCTAAGCTGGTGATTAAGTGACATTACTTCTCTTTTTGCTCAAGTTATAACTCATTTTAATTTCGATCATATGAATAATAAACTATTATCATTATAGCCAACCTTTACTTAGATTTTCTTATAGAAAATTTTCTCGCGCTATTTTTAGACCACCAAATTTGAAGTTACTCATTTATTTCTCGTCGGAGAACATGAGATCGTTTTGATTTAATTGTCACCACATCGCCAAAGATGGCTCAAAGCGGAGCCGAAACGATCGATTTATGATTATTATGTATCTTATTATTAGTAACTAAAGATTGTTATAACGTCAATTTACGCACCGTCAACCGCGTAGAACTCTCAAAGCTTTTTTGCTTGTCACTTGTTAATACATATATTTATATAATATAGAATTCTAAAATTGATGTATATCTCTGTCTAAATTTGAAGTATTAGAGATTATACATACATATAATAGAATATATTATATTCAGAGATGTTAATGAATAAAAGTAATTTTTACTAAACCTGTTTAGTAAAAATCACACACATACACACACTTTTCAACATTATCATATACATTACCTATCAGAGATTCCTAACATATAAGCATTTACGCGCCAGAAATGATTAAATGCTTCATTTTCTTCCAGTGTATTGGACAATCCAAAACTGTTAGGCGCATTGTATATAAATCCAACAAAACCGTACTGAGTAAGCACCATGTCTCTTTGAGTAATTTCTCCCAAACCAGCGATCTTTGATTTCATGCTGCCGATTTTATGGTGCCAGCGGATTGTGTTCATCGATTTGTACCATCTAACAGATTTTAGGAATTCAAAAATATATTAATTTGTGCAAATATATATCTTTTCACATGAAAAATTTGCATGTTCAGATAAAACTTTAACTTAATTCAGAGAATATTTTTATAATGCGCGGTTCTAAATTTCTAAATACAATTCTACATTTGAATTTTTGTGAGTTTTGCGAAGTTTTCATGATAACGCTCTTGTATGCTCTTACGAAGATTAAAAAAAATTCCTTAGAGAATTCTTTCTATTCTTATTTAGAACGGCAAAAACAGCAACAATTATATACATAGGAAATATATTTGCGGAAATTACACTCAGAAAAAAATTTAAAACATCACGGAGAAAATTTTATAGTAAATATTACTATGGTGTCGCACTAGCTGCGAACCATCGAGGAATTTCAAGTTAAAATACTATAATTATTGTTTTAAAAACGATTAAATAACGTAATTTTTACCATAAACATAGTAATTTAACTTAAAATTCCTCGATGGTCCGCAGCTAGTGCGACACCATAGTAATATTTACTATAAAATTTTCTCCGTGCATAAATAATTGAACATATAAATATAACATTATTAATTATTTGAATGTAATATTATTTCTTTATTTGTTTTTAGTATTTTATTTAAGCAATCAAAAGTATTTTCAATTATTTATATTAAATTAATTATATTTTAATTTCAAAGATTACAAAAATCGAGATGTAGAATTGCGTATTTAAAAATTTTAAAGAATTTTATTGTGACAATCTTGTTTGTACCTTTATACAAATTATGAAAAATCTAACTTTAGATCTTTAAGGATGTTCTGGAGAATCTGGAGAGCTTGTCAAAATGCTATGAAATTGATGAAAATTTAATATCATATTCCGTATTCTCTTTCAAAGTTTGGGGCTAAATTTCAGATTAATTTACAATTTAGATAAAAAGTTTTCAATTTTTAAATATTCAAGTTTTAACACGTAATCTTATGGCGTTACAGAGAATTAAAATGTAGATTAAAATGTACCCAAAACCAAAAACATTATCCAAGTAACATCATATTGACCAAAAAATGACGTAATATTGGATCAATAGGATCAATATGACGTCAAAATAATGTCATTTTGACCGCAATGTATTACTTGGGTAAAAAATGCTACCAATATAACGATATTTTACACACAAATAGATCATCAACAAATAAAATTATAGCAACAAAATTTGAAACAAGTTAAATACAAAAAATTTTTTTTGCGATTTTTTTGTTGAAAAAAAGTATAGTGGTAAGAGTTATTTACAGTTACTACATCTATGTCTTTTACATTTTATTAGATTTGCCGTGACTATTTATAGGTATACATTTTTTTGTCTTTGGATCGCTGGAGAATTATTGTAATATATCGGTGTTTTTAATATTTCTTGCATACTTTTAGTTAGGACGGTGCTCCAGAATATCCTAAAGTCATCTATTTTGAACATATATGTGTTTTGAAGTGCTATAAATAGAAGCATGACATAAAGAATAAACATTCAGAATGGCTAAAGCATTTTAGTGTTGTATGACCTGTAAAAGATATGTTAATTTATTATTAATAAATTCAGGTTAACGACC